GCAAGTCCTACATTTGTTGTTAATAATTCTATTAATTGATTGTCTATCTTCTTATCAATTGTATAAAAACATGCATATGATGGAAGAAACCACATATAAAAACAATACGTTAAACCAATATTTGTACGATAATCAATAATAAGATTTTTGAATTTTTCTATTGAATGTTGTTTAGTTATTAGGCGATGTTCGTTCTTCTATGTTCATTTTGAAACGATCATACTTTTCGATGAATATTTGTTCCTTATGAACTTTGTTTACACTTAATATTAACTGAACATAAATACGATTCGAGAATAAATGTATAATTTTTGTGGAAGATAAACTTAACATGTTTAAATGTTCATTTAATTGTAGAAGTTGTTCATAGTTATTACAAAATTTAATGTTACCATTTGTTTGCTCAATTATTTCAATTAAATCTAGTTTAATAAATATATATTTCAATAATTTAGCATAATACATTCATAAATTATGCTTTTCACTATTAAGAATGGTTATTACATCTAAATATTGATCTGTATTGATTGTCATCCAATTTTTCATAAACTCAATTTCAAGTCCAACCAATTTTTGATCAATTATTGATGAATTATTGATATCATGATTATGTTTACTTAGTAATATTTTAAGATAATCAATAAATTCATGTATTGTTAAACGTTTCTAAAATATACATTCAAAATCGTAATTGAACGTTTGTTGTAACACGGATAATGCATTATCATTGTCGATGACCGATGAACTAATACATCGAATTAAACTACAAAATGATCGTAATTTTTCAAGATTATTCACACCATATTGTAGTAAGTTTAATATATTTTGACAAATACGACTACATATAAATAGTAAATGATTAATATTTGTGCAACTATTCATTATTTTTGAATTGACAATCATTTCAATTAAATTCATTAAACAATTCTCTAAAAATGGATCATCACTACACGTTAATTTAAAATCATCTTTGATCTCAGTTTCACCTGACGGTAGTTGATAAAAGAAATTTTCTTTCAATAAAAGTGTATAAAATTGATCAGACGAATGAATATTATTATCATATATACCAAAAGGTGTGATACATACCTGTCGTAATGTTTGTTCATCTACGACTTCTATTGCCGATTCAAAAATTTGTATTAGTAATAATAACTCCGTATGATGTATTATTAAATGTATAATACGATCGACTGATTTAATTTTGAGATTTTTTGATAGTAGTTCAAAAATGAGATCAATTGACAATTGAATTTTATGTTCCGTGATGAATAATAATAGCATATCATGATAATATAGTTGAAATAACTCAAAATTGCCGTCTATTATTTCATTAATGTATGGTTGATAGTTACTTTTCTCTTTTAATTGATTTGATAATTGTCAACGTCCATGTTATCTACTATTTGTTTTTCTCGTCGCTTGTGAACCATTTGACGAATATCCGATAAAATTTTGTATTCATGAGTAGAACAAGGTCAATGTAAATTGAATACAAGTGAAATTTCAGTCAAATCAATATCATTTATTGTTATATCAATAGTTTTCAATGATGAAGTTAGACAATCGTATCAAACTAACTAAATTAATATTAGTTATTTTTGATATAGTAGTACTAGATAAAGTAGTTGTCATGATCATTGATCTTGATGACATTTGTTTTTTTTTATTCCATTGACTGTAAGTCTATGGTCATACGAAAAAAATTCGGTCATACAAAAAACTCAAAGTGTTTGTGTGTCTGTGTTTGTCCGTACACGGGTGTGACGGACGTACATACATATAGTCATGTGGTAGTGTGACAGACGTACATACACAGAATCACTAATGAGTATCATTGACATTGTGCACAGAGGTGCTTGCGTTCGAGCTTTATGTGGAATCAGGGAAGTGTAACACCTATCCTGGCTGCGAGCGCGGTCCGAAGGGACGCGTGAGCATTTTCTGTAATTTAGAAACTTTTTTAGACTCCTGGGGCCCTTTGGGTACTCTCAAGAAACCTAGTATAGATTGAAGGTACTTTACGAAGTTGACACATCAAGTCACAGAAATAATCATTACGCGTGGTAGATAGTCTCTAGCGAACACCGACCGAAAGGAGGAGTAAGCGTTGTTTTGACGAAGAAGGCCAAACTTTGCCCCCACTTAGGTTTCTTTATCAAGGGTAAGAAGACTGATAGATTTGGAAATATTACGTCTATTTCGAACATCTGTACGACAGATAAAACTAAATCAGATTACAGAGTCTCGATGAACTATAGCAATTCTGATAAATGTTTCTCACCGGTGAAAACCTAAAGCAAGTGGTTCTGTAAACTAAGATGGAAAATGTGGACGTTCTCATCGCGAAAAATATGCATCAATTCTGTAGTAGCAAGGTCGAGTTACAACAGCATGAATAATAATTCCGAGAGTACACTCAGTGGACTTACAGGCAATGGACCTAGTGAATGCATTCGATTCACGTTATTTATTGTAAGATAACTATCAATAAATGCATGTTGTTCTAAGTGTTTAAATAATAATGTTAAATAAATATCATGATATTGTTCTAATAGTGTTTGATAAGCATCATTAAATGATCGACATGTAACATTAATGATCATATTTTGAATTAAATCATATCGCCAATCATTAAATTTGGAATTTGGAATAGATTTCATTAAATCGAAAAGTTTTAATTCAATAATATGTTTTAAATTAAAATGATGATTTTCATTATCATCGTCAAAAAACATTTTAGAATTGTATTTTTTCTCGAATTAATATTATAATTATTGTCAACATTGTATTTAAATTTAGATAAACGCCGATCAATCACTTGTTCTGATAATAAAAATTGATTCTGAACCGTTAAATATTGATATGATGGTTGAATAAGTATATCATACGGTATTGTTTCATGTTTATTTGTTAAATCATCAATCATGTATATTGACCAACCACTGAATAGAACATCATTATCAGTTTGAAATCGCATATTACATTGTAGATGAAATATAATCCATAGGTAGTGTTTATTATCATTTGTTTTATACTCATTAAAAATATTTAATAAATTATATTTTAACGTTAATAAATGTTTTTGTTCTTTATAGTAATATGTATCAAAAGAAATTTCTTTTCCATTTGTTGATAATGCGCTTTAAGTATGTTGATAAAATCTAATTCTGTTTTGATATTACCGGATTTAATCTCATTTATCATGTGTCGTAACGGGTGATGCAAAAAGCTTTTTCCTTTTTTGTTTCCACTATTGCTTTCTCCCAAAACATCCGGAAGGGTTAATTGTTTCTCCGTTGGAAAGACCGAAATCTGAACTTCAAAAAAACATATGAAACAAAACTTTTGTGATTGAATTTGGGTGAGAAAAGCTGGCTACCTGAGATCACTCCTCTATGTGAAAATATCAGATGAACAATACTCATGAGTATTTTGCCGAAAGTGGTATGAGTACTCAACAATACCCAAGCATGAGTACTCAAAGTCGTACTCAGAGTA